CAGTCTCCCGAAGGCAGACGCTGTGCCAGTCAGAATCACGCCTCACTCACCACTTGACATTCCTCACGTCAACTTGAGTCCTTCAGCTGGATCACAAGTTACTTTAAAGCCTAAGCCCATCCAAACAGAATCACACCTATACTCTAAAAGAAACCTCTGCTGGGTACAGTGGCTCACACCTGTAATCCTAGTACTTTGGGAAGATTAGGCAGGAGAACTGCTTCAGGCTTGGAGTTCGAGACCAGCCTAGACAACATAGAGAGATCCTCTCTCTACAAAACATTGTTTTTTTTGGGTTTTTTTTTTTTTGAGACAGAGTCTCACTGTGTTGCCCGGGCTAGAGTGCCGTGGCGTCATCCTAGCTCACAGCAACCTCAAACTCCTGGGCTCAAGCGATCCTCCTGCCTCAGCCTCCCGAGTAGCTGGGACTACAGGCATGCGCCACCATGCCCGGCTAATTTTTTCTATATATTTTTAGTTGTCCGATTAATTTCTTTCTAATTTTAGTAGAGACGGGGTCTCGCTCTTGCTCAGGCTGGTTTCGAACTCCTGAGCTCAAACAATCCGCCCGCCTCGGCCTCCCAGAGAGCTAGGATTACAGGCGTGAGCCACCGCGCCCGGCCTTTTTTTTTTTTTTTTGAGACAGAGTCTCGCTCTGTTGCCCTGGGTAGAGTGCAGTAGCGTCATTGTAGCTCACTGCAACCTCAAACTCCTGGGCTCAAGTGATCCTCTTGCCTCAGCCTCCTGAGTAACTGGGACTACAGGCACATGCCAGCTAATTTTTCCATTTTTAGGAGAGACTGGCTCTTGCTCTTGCTCAGGCTGGTCTCAAACCCCTGAGCTCAAGCAATCCTCCTGCCTCAGCTTCCCAGAGTGCTAGGATTACAGGCGTGAACCACTATGCCCAGCCTACGAAAATTTTTTTTTAAAAATTAGCCAGGGCAACTCCAACTTGGGCAACAAAGCAAGACCCTGTCTCTAAAAAAAAAAGAAGAAGAGGCCTCTCAAATCAGGCCTACAGCTTCCCTCTACTCCTTCCCAGCCTGCACTCGCACCTCCCTTCAAGTTGTCCTTTGTCAGTGCTTAAGATGGGAGGCACACACCAACATCTAGAAGGAAAAGTAGCACACACCGGTCAAAGCCAAGTCTGCTAGACCACAGGGCTGGTAGGAGGGTAGAGAAATCAGCTGTGTCAAACAGCTCTTGTTGCCAGTATAACCCTCAGACTCCCTCTGTGGGGCTCCATTCTTACAGCCATGTCCCACATGATTAGACATGTGAAGACAGGCCCCCTGGAAGGCCCTGGGAGGGCCATCAGGTCTAAGTCTTATAAAAAGAAAAGAGGGAGAATTTGTGTTTTCCTTCACATTGCCCAAATGGTAGGAACTCAAGAGCCAAAATTAGATGACAAGTGCCTTAGGAGGCCATCTTTCAGGCCAAGCCTTGGGCCAGCTCACATTTAAAGTTCACAGGAACCCTCCTACAACCAGCCCCGCCCACCGTGAGCCTCCCTTTCTCTAAACACCAAGTTTCCTGTAGCACGTTAGCCTCATGAGATGACACAACAATTTAGAAAGAAGAGCATGCAGAAACAGTAGGGTGGTTGCTCAACCAAATATTCAGGTAGGCAGAGAATATAATGGTAGGCAGGGTCAGGGTCCCTGCACTCCCACCAACTTACAAAGTAAAACAGGAATGAGACTATGTTGTCTGAAGAAGCACAGAGTGCTATGACAACATCTAGTAGGAAGATAGATGGTAACTAGACAGATTAGACAGCAACTCTGGGCCAAGCCTGTATCCAATAATATAAAGCCTTTTAAGCTATGGTATGGTTTTGTTTTCATTTTTGGGTAGTAGTGGGTTTGGGTGGGATTGTTTTTGGGCTTTATCCTAAAAGCAAGAAGCTATTGAAGATTAAACCAGGGGAACGGCGTGATCAGACTGAATTGTTAACAAATTACTCAGGCTACAGCATGTCAAAGGGACTAGAGAGTGGCAGTGAGTGGTCACGGCCAAGAGGAGGCGGAACACAGCAGTGGAGGTGGAAGCAAGCTGATGATTCAGGAGGCATCAATGAGGTAAAAGGCACAGGACTTACTGGTGGGCAGGTTTCAGGAGGAGCAGTGAGGAAAGACAGGTAACAAAGACAACCCCTAGGTCTCTAGTCTGGGTGGTGGTGCTCTGAGACAGGCAGGCCAGCATGAGATGGGGGCAGAGAATGGATACCATGAGTCAGATATGACTACAGAGTAAAAATTAGCTTGCTCTGAGAAAGCGAAAATCTGTTCTGCCATTTGTCAGTTGGGATAACAGACACAGATAAAGCCAGCAGCCAAGTTAACAGAAAATGTGTCTCCCAAGGACACTGCAACTGTAAAGCATCATAATGACCTCTTGAGTAATTGCTGACTTCTTATTCACTAAGAAACCTTATTCTGTAAAATCCCAGACTCTTGGAAATTTTGCTGTTTGAAATTATACCAGTAAGAAGGAAACATCCCACTTTTACCTACAGGATGTAAGTCACTATGACACAGAGGAGCAGCTTTGATTTCCAGCCAACTGCAGAGCTTCAAATAGGAGACTTCTAGGTACAATGTACCATGTCTATTTGAGCTTTATAGTTTTCAAGGAAACAAGACCTGGGCCAACTTCACAGTCAGACTTGATACTGACCCTTTTACACACAGCTCTACTTTGTGCTGAGCCCATCAAAACACTGCTTCATTTACACTTCACCTAGATTCCACCCTGCCCCCAAGTCCTGTAACAACTCTATCCTTCTCTTTGTTTGGTGAGATGTCTCACAGTGCCTCTGGTGTGTGGCCTCCCTCATTGCAAAGAGCCATAAACTTGACGTTGTCAGACTGCGGGTCTGTTCCTGGTGATCTTAGACTGATTAGGCTGGGACATTTAGAATTTGAAATGATCGTGAAAGGAGCAGGAAGAAATGCCAAGTGGGAGTCAGACACAGGGCCCTGAGCTTGGAGGAGAGTTTAGGGCTAGAGATAAATCCAGCAGCCACTGGCATCAAGCTAATAACTGAAGCTATGAGTGTGTATGAGGTTGTGTACGGAGAGGCCATGAGTGGGGCAAGGGAGCCTAGGCCTGAGCCTCCAGCAACTGCACTACCTGAAGGCTGCTAAGAAGAGAAGGATAAGTCAGCAAAGAGACTAAGACGGAATCACCAGAGAGATCAGTGGCAAAAGTTGCGACTACAAGGCATAGGGAAGGCCAGACCTGGGAGACAAGGTCTCCGAAAGTCTGACTTTGATCAAGTCATCACAGATTCATTTGTGGCCCTCACTTAGTTTGATTTTGACAGAAGGACTGATCTCCAAAGACTGATTCATGCTCACTCACTCATGAGACCCTGATGTATTTTTCAAATGCCAGTTAGCTTACAGTGAGAAATTTAATCAAACAACAGGCTGACATACTCTGCTGCTGGTCGGTACTTTCCTGAAGATAAATGCACAAGGGATAATTATGCTCAGGAAGTTGATGGAAGAGCATGAGATCAGAATTAGAGAAATTAAGAAGTCAGCGACCTGATACTTTGGCCAACCAAAGCACATCCAGCAGGGTCCCAGTGGGAAACAGAAATCAACCCGGATGTTGAGACTTTACAGAGGGGAGAGCAGGGATAAGGGAACCAACAAGGGACGGTGAAGCACCAAGGACCAGCAACAGTCCTACAGCTAAAGCGCAGGGGCAGAAAACAGCCCCACAGTCCAGCGAGAGCTGGGACTGTAAAGGAGGACCTCCAGGTGGGATTCCTAGCTGTGGAGAGATGCAGCTACTGCCAGAGAATAGCAGCAGAGCAGGGAAGGAGCATGAGGCAACACCCCCACCTCTCGCTCCACCCAGCAATGCCTTCCATTGGTGGGCCCACTGGCAGCCAGTACAGGAAGAAGGGAATCCCATCACTAGAGGTCCACCTCCCAGAGCACACAAGGGAAAGGAGAGGCAAGTGGATCTGAGGACTCCAAAGACAATACACACAAGGCAGGGCACTATGGTAACCATGAGCATTCTCCCTTCTAACTGCATACGGCTGGCACACTGACCGGAGCCTCAAGCAACTGCACTATCTGAAGGCTGTTAAGCAGAGAAGGATAAATCAACAAAGGAGAAGGAATCACCAGAGAGATCAGTGGGAAAAGAGGCAACTACTTAGCCCGGGGAAGTCCGGGGCTGTGAGGCAGGGTCTCCCAAAGTCTGACTTTAATCAAGTCATCACGGATTAATTTGTGGCCCTCACTTAAGCAAGAAACTTGTATTCTTGAATTAACTTGTCGTGACTAGAGCTATAAACACTACCTCAGCCCCCTGGATGCACCTTTTCTAGAAGCCACACCGTGATGGATAACAGCGGTGAATTAGCGTTAACCATCAACAGCTGATTTAGCTGTAATTCACCTTCAATCAGGCAAATGCTGAATCAATCTCAGAATATCCCCAAGGACTTCAATAGGCTCCTAGACTGACATCTGACTGTCGGTTCAGCTCAGATCTCAAAAATCTGCATGGACAAGTCCTAGCAAGCCTGAACTTAAATTAGTATTAGAAACTGACCTTGCCTGTCCACCTAGAGACATCCAGCTATTTCTACAGACACAGTTAACTCCATGCAAGGCTTCCACATGGCGAAATCCTTAATTTACATAAGAAAAAACTTAATTTTTAGGGTTTTTCGGTTATCCAAAGTATAAAATTCTGCCAGTGAAGAGAGCGGGAGGGAAAGAAAACCTGGTACTAGATACACCAGAAAGGCTGCAACCTTCATCCACGACCAACTCATGTATGTCCACATTACCCATTTGAGGGAACCTCCCTTTCTCAGGTTTCATCTGACTCTCCCAAATATAATTACAAGGACTGTAACAGTGCCTTAAAATTTGTTTACAATTCATTTACAGTTATTTACCTACGCTAAATGTGCTAGAACAGATTACTATTAACACGAATGACTGCTAAAATGAAGTAAGACTCACTTGTTTCTACAATCTTTAATTTCTGGAAGCTTTCTAGTACCTCCCCATTTAGTATTCTTGGTAAGAAGTCCCGTATTTGCATCACTTCAGTGGTCAGCCGTTCCAGGTCTTTCTTTCTGACTTTCACAAATTCTTCTTTAGCTCCCATGTGCTACAAGAACAATCAGATCTTAAGATTACATTTCTCTTCACATGACTAAAACAGCCCAAGTCAATTTGCTTCCTTTCATTCACGCCCCTTGTGTCCATCGTTTTAAAAGCATGTCTTTAGCTAATGAGCCCTCTGCTACACACAGACTTCATACATACACGTGAACGTTTTGAGAGCTGAAGCCCCAGCTCTCAAAATGGCCGCCAGGTATTTCTAAAAAAGAAAAAAAAGTGCAAACAAACGCCCTAGTCCTAAAAGCCAAAGAAAACACCTGTAACTTTTTCTTAACACTGCAGCGCCAAGCTGATCAGAAAGGAAAGAAAGTCACCTTTCCTGGACTCCTACTAGGTGTGCCAAGCCCTCTGCCGGTCATCTCACCTAACACTCACCCCAACCCTCCGGGTTGTCCACAGCAGAAACTGGGGCGCGGGGCACGGCGACTTTCCCAACGCAGCACTAAGGGCAGAATCAGGATTTGAACCCGGATCTGGCTCCAAAGTCCAAGCCTTCTCCTGCGCTGCATGCAATGGAAGAATCTCTCTAAACCTGGCGCTAAGTCCCAAAGGAGGTGACCGGGGCCTTCTGAGGAGGACTGGCTCCCGGAGGACACGGAGAGAAGAATGACCCCTCGTGCGTGCTGTCACGCCGCCCGGCACCAGCCACCGCCCCACCGCGTGCCGCCCCCACACCCCGCCCTCCGGAGGTCGCCTCACTCTGGCCCGCCCCACACTGGTCCCTGGGGAGGTCGCCAGGCCTCCCGACCACGCGACGGCGGCCGTTTCCGAGCACACTGGGCAAGGCCCTGAGGGGAGCGGAGTGAAAGGCGACAATTAAGACACGGGGCGGTTGCCAGGGCCGCCTCACTAACCCAGCAGGCCTCCTCCGCGACGCCCGCCTCGGCCATGGCCGCAGCGGCCCGGGCTCTGTGCGCCTGCGCAGCAACGCGCCCTCTGACCCCTCACGCCAGAAAGCGCGGGAACGGGAACGCGTCCACTCCGGGGGAAGGAGGGGTCAGAACGGACAGCCGCGAGGCTCAAACCGCGTAGAGTTTACGCAGCATTCTCGGTCTCGGGGACAAGGGTGGCTTCCGCAAGGTCTGCTTCGGCTCTTCGGGCTTAGCCGGGGTTTGAAACTTGTTAACTGCGAAGTAGAAGGAAAGTGAGACCCTGGTGTAAATGTCAAGTAAGTCGAATCGATCCGTTCCTGTTAGGCGAGGAACGCCGGCCTAAGGGGGATGGCGCGTCCACAGGGCACCTGGGAAGGCCAGGTAGCCGCGTGCAGGAACGAAGACAACCTCCCCTAAAGGGACAAACCGCAGTTGGAGGGAATGACTCAGCGTTTGCTGGCGGAGTAGGGTGATGACAAACAAATGTGTGGTACTCGGGAGACAGACACTCTAAATACCCTGATTGACCGCTAAGCATTATATACATGTAACAAAGTTGCACATGCACCTCATAAATCTGTACAGATTTAAACGATACAAATAAGATAACCACCCCAAGTTTGGAGGCGTCACCTAGTCCCTTAACTTGCCCCAACCCACCCGCTGTGTCTGCAGGATACGGGCCAGCCTGGGGTTTCAGAAGAACCCGAAGTTATCGCACGACTGCCAACATTGCTTCCCTCCCAAGGAATTAGCAAGCGGGGCGCTGCCCACACTCCCCGCAGGGGGCCGGCCGGACGGCTCGTGTGCTCCCCACTACACACCCCTGCTCTAGCTCCGGGACGCGGAGCGGGGGTGGGGGGGACGCCTCCGCAGTCGCCCCTCCATTGCTAAGCAGGCCCCAGTGACGGCCTTTCTTCCAGCCTCAACTCCACCTAGGGGCTGCAGGGCAGAGTGAAAAACTCCTACATGGAGGTCGCAGGAGCACGCTGGCCGGACGGGGTTTGTTGGTTGTGCTTAAAGATCCTACACGAGGCCAGGCGCGGTGGCTGACGCCTGTAATCCCAAAACCGTGGCAGGCCGAGGCGGGAGGGTTTCTTGAGGCCAGGACTATGGAACCAGCCCTGGGCAACGTAGAGACATCTCGTCTCTACAAAAAAAAAAATTAAAAATTAGCCAGGCGTGATAGCGCGCCTGCAGTCCCAGCTTCTCGGGAGGCTGAGGCGGGAGGACCGCTTGAGCCAGGAGTTCGAGTCTGCGGTGAGCTAGGATCGCACCGCTGCACTCCTGTCCGGGTGCCAGAGCAAGACCTTGTCTCTAAGAAATAATAAAAAACCAGGCCGGGCGCGGTGGCTCACGCCTGTAATCCTAGCTCTCTGGGAGGCCGAGGCGGGCAGATCGTTTGAGCTCAGGAGTTCCAGACCAGCCTGAGCAAGAGCGAGACCCCGTCTCTACTAAAAATAGAAAGAAATTAATCGGACAACTAAAAACATATAGAAAAAATTAGCCAGGCATGGTGGGCATGCCTGTAGTCCCAGCTACTCGGGAGGCTGAGGCAGGAGGATCGCTTGAGCCCAGGAGTTTGAGGTTGCTGTGAGCTAGGCTGACGCCACGGCACTCTAGCCCAGGCAACACAGTGAGACTCTGTCTCAAAAAAAAATAAGAAGAAGAAGAAGAAAACAGATCCTAGGCCATTTACAACTAGCCCTTCGTCTTTTCCTGGTCAAGACCCACCCTGGCTAACCTCGCCGGCAACGGCCCTGAATTTTGGCAACCCAAAGAGGCGCGGCGCGCACCCACGCTGGGCCGCTCCGCCCGCTGTCCCGGCCCCGGCCGCACTCGCTGCTGGCGCGCGCTACGAGCCGGCGCCTTTATGACGCCATCAGCCCGCGCGCGCCGTTTCTTGCGCAGTCGCGGCCCGGGAGGCTCGGCTGCTGAGGCGCGCTCGGCGGCTGGCCGCGCGGCCGGGGATGTTCCAGCGGGCGCGATGGCCCCTGCCATGCAGCCGGCCGAGATCCAGTTTGCTCAGCGGCTGGCGTCCAACGAGAAGGGCATCCGGGACCGGGCGGTGAAGAAGCTGCGCCAGTACATCAGCGTGAAGACGCAGAGGGAGACAGGTGGGCGCCGGCGGCGGTCAACCGCGCCACATGGCGGGCTGGGGCTGGGGCCGCGGCGGAGCCCACTCGGGCGGGCCGGGGAGGGAAGGCGGCTTCCACTCGTCGTGCGGTGACTCGTGACACCAGCGTGTGCTCTGTGTGTCCGCGCTGACGGAACCGCTTCCTTCTGTGCCTGGTGCCATTTTACAGTCGAGGAAGCTGGCGCCGAGGGCTTCAGTAATTTGTGAACGTCCCAGTAAGCGGGGGGCTGAGAACAGACCCGGGTTTGTCGGATTCCCGAGGCTGCACCTGGAATCCCTGCACGCATCCTGAGTCGCTCCGGTGTCCTCGTCACTGATTCCCGCCTGCCTTCAGCGTGCGGGAGAGAGAACTTCTGGTAGTAAGGCTGCGGGCGGCGGGCACAGGCGAATGACCTGGAGTTTGTAAAGGTAGGGACGGAAATGAAGGCCAGGGAATGGCAACAGTGAAGGAGGGAGCTCCTCTACACAGGCTGCTCCGGGAAGGCCTCCCTGGGGGGGATGTTCAACTGAGCTCCAAGCGGAGGAGAGAGGAAGCGGGCCACGCAGAAGCTGGAAAGTGTTAGGAGATAAAATTGGAAATGTAGGCAGTGGCCAGTTAGTTCGCACAGGGCTTTGTAGTTTGGATTTTGCCGTTGGAGGATTTCACTTACCTGTTGCAGAATATTTTCTGTAAACCCTTAAGTGAGCGCATAAGGTATGAACTACGGAGCGTAAAAGAGGTTTTATGTTGCACTAAGTGAGTTAAGGTTTGATTTAGTTACTGCTGATACTGGTATATTTGGAATCTGCTTAAAAGAATAGATAGTATCTCCCCCCATTACTGACATTCTCAGTTTGTTTTGTTTTGAAGAGAAACCACAAAAAAAGAAAATACACTTTTATGGGAAATCTGATAGAAAGAGGAATGAAGACCAAAATTGCTAACTTAAGTTCTGTTGGGAATCGCCCCGAGAGATTTCATTTACTGTCATGGTTCCGGGTATCTCGTATGTACTGATGGCTCCTAAACCTAAATTGCTAGTCCAGCCCTTCCCTCCTTTCAGCTCAGATGTGCCCTGCTAGCCCAGCATCTCCACCTGCACCTCACGTTCAAACGCCAAAAGATGACTCATTTTCTTCCCCCCAACCTGTTCTCTGGTGCTGCTGCTCTTCTGCCGCTTGTGCTGTCTTTGGGTTGCCAGTTTCCACCGTCCACTCAGACCCCAGCCAGACACATGGGATTGTTCTGGGTTCCTCTCTCTAAGTCATGCTCTACCCCAGTCCACATCCAATGGCCCTGGATCCCACTTCCTTCACCTCCTCAAATACTCTGCTCTGACCATAGGCCCTCTTTATCTCACCTGGACTTCTGCACCTGCTTACTCCCTTCCAGATCTGCATCCTCCTTGAATCTGTCCTGCACAAACCATCTGAGGGTCATCGTCCTAAAACAACTCTGATCATGTCACCTCCTTCCTTGAAATTCAGTGTCTGCAGGTCATGAGCTGTCCTCAGCCTAAGCCCCCACATGCCTGTTTCATGCTCCGTTGACAGAACCATTGGTGGTTCCTGGTGTATAGCACACTATTTCTCACCTCTCTACCTTTGCTTCTCCTGTTCACTCTGCAAAGAATCCCACCCCTTCTTCACTCCCAGCACTCAATTCAGCATCACTTCCTCCAAAAAGCCTTCCCTAGCATCTAACCTCCACTGCGGTAGGATTCGAAAACATCTAGTATGTCTCTATTGTGGCGCCAAGCTACGTTGCTTAGCTGGAAGTGGGCGTACATCCAGCCATACAAGAAGTACATCTTGGTGGGGTATAAGAACATGAGACCAGACGCAATACATGTGCGTCTGAGATGGACAGACAGAGCCTGTGCTCACGCCCCTTTGGTGAGCAGGCCCAGAATCTGCAGGTGCTCCTGGGCCTGTCTGGTTAGCACCCATCACACCCAGAGTTACCTGTCTTACACCTCTTGTTCATCACAATGTCATGTATGGAGTAGAGTGGGCTTTCAAAAAATAACTGCAGAGTGATTGTCACAGACAGTGATAATGGGACAAGAAAAACAAAAGTCTCTGCCGCAGCTGTGCTATGCCCTATCAAGATAGAAACATAAGTTGGGAAATAACTTGGCCTGACATTTGACTCTCATTGACAGCCTCAAATTTCTTTGTATCTTATCTTGGGCACAGAAAAGGAAATATGAGATTTTACTGAAACACATAGCTTTCCATCAGCAACATACATACGTAGCTTTGTGATTTTAAAAACAAATTGGAAATCTTGGAACTGCTTAAAGTACCAGAATATTGCTCCTGTGCTTTCGCTGTTCATGGAGAGTACTCGCAGTCATACCATAATCACTGCCCGTGGTTTAGCTCATGAGGGCTCATTGTCCCTATTTCTTCATGCATTCACGTGGTCAGCAAACATGGAGCACCATCTGTGTGCTATCATTATTATGTATACTACTCTTGGCACTGGGAATACAGCAATGAACAAAATGGATAATCCATGCCTGTCTTATCAGTTCTGCAATGTTAGTTAAACATTTAATATATACTAAAATTGGGGTGCATCTTAAAATCAGCCTGTGACAGTTTCATTTGTATCATTGCTCTCTTTTTAGTGGCATATAAACTAACAGTACATCTTATGGTTGATGAGATCTTAGATTCAGTGCAGGTGATTGGAGAAGTAAGTGTTTTTTCACAGTGAAGGGGCTTAGAGCTCTCCCTACCCAAGAGTTATAATAAGTAGGAGTTATAGATATTTTTACAGTGGAGTAGGTTAGAGTAGAACACTTCACCCCAATCTCAGATGGCTTCTGTGCTCATTTTATGGTGAGAGTAGCTGTTGGATTTGCTCATTTCAAAACTTACTGGTATTTAATATGTCCTCATGTCTCACTTTCATGTTCACTCCATTCGTTTCGAAATAACTAAAGCTGCGCTGTATTGTCAGAAACTTAGTTGTATTAAGTTTAAAAATTTTAGCCCTAAGAAGAAAAGATAGATCAAGAAAGAACAGTGGGCTGGGCGTAGTGGCTCACGCCTGTAATCCTAGCACTTCGGGAGGCCGAGGCGGGAGGATCGTTTGAGCTCAGGAGTTCGAGACCAGCCTGAACAAGAGCGAGACCCAGTCTCTACTAAAAATAGAAAGAATTTAGCTGGACAACTAAAAATATAGAGAAAAATTTAACCGGGCGTGGTGGCGCATGCCTGTAGTCCCAGCTACTCGGGAGGCTGAGGCAGTAGGATTGCTTGGGCCCACGAATTTGAGGTTGCTGTGAGCTAGGCTGACGCCACGCACTCTAGCCTGGGCAACAGAGCGAGACTTTGTCTCAAAAAAAAAAAAAAAAGAAAAGAAAGAAACAACAGTGGAACGAAACTGCTTCGGATATGTACTTCACCTTTAAGAGTTCTGAAAGTAGCTCAGTAATGAGCACGTCTGTCTTTCACTTTGAATGCTTCAAAAATTGGCACCTTGTTTTTACCAACTAAATTCCTAGGTGAAAACAAGTGATTTATTTATTTATACACACACACACATATGTATGTTTATAAAAAGGAAAAAACTTTGGTTAGCAGTGGGAAGGAAAGTAAGACAATTACTACAGTAATGTATAGCAGTTGGATAGTGCTTTACTGTTACAGTGCTTCTCATACATGTTCTTGATTTTGACCCTAACCATAAACCTTATGTATGTTATAGTTAAGGGAACTGAGGCCCAAAGGTTGGCTAACAGTTTTCTGATACTATACACTTGTCAGTAGCAAGCTGGGGCCTAGCCAAGAATTTGTTTCAACTCTTTTTGTTGCCTCCTAGAGACGAGACAATTAATATATTTTGTTGTCCAGCTCCCTTTCCTGCCCATTGTCCATAATCCATTGGCCCTCTTTGTTCTAATGTGCCGTTATCCATTATAGAATCCTGTGAAGCACATCACTGCACCTTTGTGGTACCTTTGCCTATAATATGAGTCGTCCAGAGATACTTGGTATGTCACATTATCCCCTACTTTTTTTTTTTTTTTTTTTTTTTGAGACAGGGTCTCACTTTGTCACCCTGGCTAGAGTGCAGTGGCATCATCATAACTCACTGCAACCTCAAACTCCTGGGCTCAAGTGATCCTCCTGCCTCAGCCTCTTGAGTAGCTGGGACTATAGGCGCATGCCACCATGCCCAGCTAATTTTTCTATTTTTTGCAGAGACAGGGTGTCGCTCTTGCTCGGGCTGGATTATCCCTTACTTAACTGACTGGAGGACCATCTGGAGGTAAATGTACACCATCCTGTTTTCAAGTGAGAAAGGCCAGAATGCAGAATGTGATGCCATTTAGGTCACATATGCACAACTGTGATTTTTTGCACTACCTGTATCTGTTTTGTAAATGCACGGGAAAGATCGTTTAAAAAATGCACATCAGACAGGTAGCAGTGGTCCCTTTGGGGAGGGGACTGGGACTCAGGAGGCAGTGAGCAAGGCTAACTTGTGACTGTATAACTTTGGTGGTAGTATATAGGTTCCTTGCAATAAAAATATGTTTTTATTAGTTAGGACTCTTTTCCAGTTGCAACTTGACAAGATCCACGCCACACTAGTGTGGAGGAGGGGAATGGAGCAGAGCTTCGTGCAGTAGCTCGACTGCTGGCTCCAGAACTCAGTCTTCCTCCACTGTAGACTCAGCTGCCCCGAGAGTGTCTCCATTCTCATGTAGGCTCCCCTTGTGTGGTGAGGTGGCTGGGACAAACTGTGTTCCGTTCAAGTCCAGTAGGAGAAAGCTAGAGAATTCCTAAAGCCTAAGCCTCGCGGCAAGTGGCTTTTCCATTCTTGAACCCCTCCTCGTGGCCAAGGGAATTCTTGCTGATTTGGTCAAAGCGCAGCTTGCTGCCACCTCCCCTCACGTGGGGTGAGCCCACCCAGACCACGGCTTCCCTCCATGCCCTGCTTGAAGGCGGAGAGCCTGGGAGGGGCTGACAGCCTAGCTACTTGGCAAGAACAGGGAATGCCCGGTACCTGACCTCAGTAATCTGTATTCTTTCAATCCTCTTTTTGCTTTTAAGTCGATTAATGTTCATGCCTTTCCAGTTACATTATTATGAAGAGTGTTTTTAAAACCGAAAAGAAAAGAGAAAACAGCATGGTGTGTCTTTGGTAATCTCATGTACTCTTTTGCTTCTTTTTGTTGAGGAATATTTCAAACATATACGAAGCGTACTCATGGCTCTGCTTCAGCATTGGCCGACACCTGGCCAGTCGGCCTGATCTGCCCACTTCCTCCTTCCCACTGCGTTGTTGTGAGCTGAATCCCAGACATCTCGTTTCATTTCCAGATACCTCTCAGCATGTATCTCTGAAAGATACAGGTTCTTTTTTTTTTTTTTTAAATAACTTAAAGAGGTTTATTCCGAGCCAAATTTGAGGACCATGGCCTGGAGCCACACCCTAGAAACCTTAAGCAGCTCGACTCCAGGATTCTTTTTTTTTTTTTTTTTTTTTTTTAACATAGCCACAGTGTGATTATTATACCTTTAAAAAAAAAATCCTTCATAGGACAAAATATCCAACCTGTTTAGTTTTTCTCAACGTCTCATAAATGTCTTTTATGACAATTCAGAATCCAAATAAGACCCACTTTTTGAATATGGTTATATGTCTGCTAAGACTGTCTTAAACTCCAACAGTTCTTGTCCATTCTCTCCATGCAGTTTGTCAGGATGTGGGCATTTGTCCTGCTTTGGGCACACTTGGGGTTTTGCTGACCGCATCCCATTGTTTCATTTAACGTGTTCCTCTGTCCCCGGTATTTCCTGTAAACTAGTACTGATAGTTAGATTTGACACAATTTAGAGGTTTTTTCAGTTTTGTTTTTGTAAGAATACTCAACAGGTTGGTGCTGTGTTCTTCCTGTTGTCTCAGCTCGGCATCTAATGAATGATTGTCTGTGCAAGCTAAGGATCGATCAGTGTGGTTTTGGGTGTGGTTGGTCTGACCCATCCATCCGTTTTAAAGTTTCTCCATATCTTTTCATCTAATGTTTTAGCAGCCGTTGATGATCCTTCCCAGATCCTCTAATACAGCAGTCCCCAACCTTTTTGGCAGCAGGAACTCGTTTCATGGAAGACAGTGTTTCCACAGGCAGGTTACAGGGAGCTCAGGCAGTGATGTGAGCGATAGGGAGTAGCTGTAACTACAGACAAAGCTTTGCTCACTTGCCTGCTGCTCACCTCCTATTGTGGGGCCCCCCAGTTCCTAAGTTTCATGGAAGACAATTTTTCCACAGATGGCCCTGGGCAGTGGGGAGGTGGGGGTGGAGGGTGGAGCTCAGACGATGATGTGAGTCCGGGTTCCTAACAGGCCACGGACTGGTACCAGGCCACAGCCCGGAGGTTGGGGACCACAGCTCTAATACACTAGGGATATATGCAGTCATTAAACACGATTGAAGCTATGCGGAGGTCACTGTGACAAAAAAAGCTACCATGATCATGACTGCAGCTGGCTGGGCTCTGGGAGAGCTTATCACTCAGGGTGTGCTTACATCATCAACAAGAAGAGCCCCAGGTGTGACTGGTTTGTAACAAGGGGGTTGGGAGACCAACTGGTACATCTTCTGTCCAAATCTTAAGGGAAATGTACTTTAATAAACTAATTTTACTATAGTTTCTGGTATCTTGGTTTTTAAACGGGAAACTGTAACAAGAGAATCAAAATGTACTTTTGTAAAATTGCTGATATGAGAAAAGTCTTTAGTTACTTGGAAAGCATACCTGTAAAATAGGGTAATCTCACTCTAAATACACTAAATAAACTCCTGTCCGTCAAAAGGGGTCCTTTGTGGCTTTTTAATCATCATTTGGAGTATCAAGATCACATTGATTCCAAATATTGTTTGCATTCCTACTTTACTGCTCCAAAAGATTTCTCCTGATACCTCCTTGTAAAATATGAATAAAGACCATTTGTAAACATGCATTAAGACTTGAGGGTTCTGTTTTCTAATTTCGTGATCCATAGGTTTGGAAACTCCAAGAGTATACACTTACCTTATCATTTTGTGATTCCTTATGTCACTCAACAAGTATTTCATGACACCTGCAGAATACAAAAGACAAGGCTGAGCAAGGCTGGTGGCTTCTTCCTGGCTGGTCGAGGCAGAGGCAGAGCCCTCATGCAGCTAGACTCAGAACAAGGCCAGCCCAGGTGATCTTCGTACTGCAGGCAACAATTTGCTCAGTAAATGGCAGCCAAGACAGGGAGGGAGGTTGGGACACAGCCACTTTTGACCTCATAGCAGGAACCTTAAAAGGGTCATTTTTGCAGCAATATTCACTATCTATGTCAGTTTCCGGGGGGCTTTCTTAGTCCTTTGACTTTTAGATACACTATCCGGAGCTCCCTGTGTCCTCAACCTGCCTGACTTTCTGTTCTTCTGGAGTGGGTCTGCCAGTCCCTGGGGGCTTCATGCGATTCGGGCAAATTCTGCATCTCTTATAGGGTTTGCAGTTTTATTTCCCAAGACCAGTGAAAACATTGGTGTGCAGGAGAGATGCTAGTTTGAAGTAAGGAGGGTGTTTGAGGGGAACTGACTATACATGGCCACTTCATTCATTCATTTTTGTTGTGATGACATGTTTCCTCACGTTGCTCAGAGGATGGGGCCCCGCGCCCACAGCCACCCTGCCCTGGAGCTGATAAAACTACATGTGCAGTAGGAATTTGTAACCATAAGGAAAAATGTGCTTCAGTTTTCTAAAAAGGCATCTGCAGATGGAAGGGAATTAAAATGTATGTGGTATTATTTTCACCACTTCTGAGGCAGTTCTAAACTCTAAGAAAGGAAATATGTAGACTCTAAAATAAGATTTTTGTGCTGTTTTGCCCTCCAGGAGGTTTCAGTCAAGAAGAACTTCTAAAAATATGGAAAGGGCTCTTCTATTGCATGTGGGTGCAGGACGAACCCCTTCTGCAGGTAATGTACAGTTCTCTTTGTCATATTTCTGGATTTTTGGAACAAATGGATAAAAGAGACCTGATCGCTTAATATACCTAAAGAAATTGAAAATCAGTGCCTCTGGGGGTTGTTTTTTCTCCTTTTGTCCATACAGAAAGGACTGCAATATCAAAGCATTGTTAATTATCTTTTCAAATAAAAGGAAGGATTTGCGTAAATTATAGGTTTATTATTTCTATCACAATTTTTTAGGGTTCCATGGTAGGTTTTACATTACATACTTTAAAGTTCGTGTTTCATCTTCTATTAAGTGAATTATCTGTGGTCAGAAGTGCCAGGACAGGAGTGCCAGTCCGAGACCCTGTGAGACCCGGGACACAGCAGCTGCCTCGCTGGGCTTCCCGCTCTCTGCGGGGCAGGCAGAAGCCTAAGCCTCTAACACTTACAGCTCGGTGCGAACTGCACAGCTCGCTAGAACACGCGTGTGACTCTGTCTCTGTCTGCTGAACGTGCTGAGCACCACCACCAAAACTAGGACTAAAATAGAGATTCTCACTTTTCAAAAGCTTTGTCCTGATGTATGAGAGCAGGCCTGATGTGCTGGAGTCAGTTGAGGGGCCACATGTGCAGACCGCTAGCGCGAGGGGGTCTCTGTGGGCAGATATCACTTTCTGGGCATTGGTGTGCAGTCTTGCCACTTCTCCCACACCATGTAATAACTTGCTTTGACTTATTACTTTTTCTCTACTGAATATATTTTGAGTAAGATTCCAGGGCAAAATATTGTTAGATTACATTCAAAAGTAACAGCCAACAGCTGTAGTGGAAGAAAACTGATGAACAGGAACCTCATTTTCAAAATGAGGAAAACTGAGGCCAGGTGAAGTGTGAGTGAGACCCATGAGGATCATTCTTTCCTCCTGGACCTCATGGGCAGAATGCTCTGCTGACTCTCAGTGGCAGGCTTCTCCCTAGGCCAGACCACAGGATTCTCCCGTGAACGAGCCTGTCGCGCAGCAGGGCTTGCTGTTCCGAGGAGTGACGGCCTGGAAGGGCGGCTTGCCTTTGCATTCCACCCTGTCTCTGACCAACCAGGTAGAGGGGACTTCCTGATACCGTCGAGTGAGGATCCCCGGTGTCTGACCGTCGCTGTCAACCCTGCTGTCCTTTTTGTTTCACATGATTTCGGGGATTTTGGGAGAATCCCAATTGAAGTTACAATTTTAAAGGCAGGAATTGACAGATAATTTATTTCCTCTGTAGTTTATTTGAACAGGTAACTAGAGATGCTTTTTTTTAACATGCAGCTAAAACAGTTCTCAGAGACATCAAGTTAGCATAACAGTCCATTAAAATCGGGAATTTTACATTTGATGAAGTTCAGATATTCAAATACACACTTGTTAGTGGAAATGACATTGAGAACAAGACGCACAGACTTGCCCCTGGGCAGAGATGGGAGGCGGCTACAGGCCATGATGCTGTCATCGCAGTGTTACCACATAATAATCCCAATGTTTCTCCCCAACCCCACCTTTGCAGGAGGAGCTAGCGAACACTATTTCCCAACTCATCCATGTTGTTAACAACTCAGAGGCTCGTAAGTCCTGATATTTTCATGACTTTCAACACTTCTTTGTTCATCACATTTGCTTACTTGCCTAGGAAATCTAGTCAATACTGTTTCTTCTCCTTCCTTTAGAGTTTAAGTTTTCCAAAGTACTAGTTTAGTGTAAACCTAGTACTAATACTGTGTAGACATCAGGCGACTAGCTGTTTCTGATTCTCAGAGCTATGATAAATGTTGACTTGGTAAGAGGACGAAGGAGGTGTCTTGTGGACAATCATATTTGACACCTCAAACATTTCAAAAAAATGTTTCTAGAAATAACAGTCCTCCAAAATCTCCACATTCTGAGTCACTTGGACACTTTCAGAGACAGCTGTCCAGATGCCAGTGTTCACAGTCACCTCTGGGTGCCGGCTTTACCCTGCTCCAGGTTGGGGCTGTCACTGGTAGTAAACTATCGAGTCAGTCCTCTTTGCCAAAAAGAAAGACAAAGGGAGAGATCAAGGTATTTCTGAGTCAGGATTGCTTACAGAGGAAGAAAAAGACAGCACAATTAGTTTATTCTGCCTGGGACTTCTCAGAACAAAACCGTCCTCATGACTTTAATACCCCCCAATGGTTCTCTAACTCATAATGAACAAAATTCTACTTATGATGTATAGATTTGCACATATCAAGGAATTGTGCAAAAAAGAAGTAAAGCCAAAAGGAATCAACAGAAATTATTTTTTAATGAAAAGTGCTTGTTTGATGGCTCAGAACTGAAAAGCAGAATGTTTTGTACTTGTAGCTCGCTCAGGTGACACCTAACATCAGACTAAAAGCTGAATTTCTACGTGGATCGTATAAGTGTTCGTCGGGATTAGTGGTTCGGGTTGTTGTGGGGTATGGGCGTGGTGGAAGTGTCCATAGAAGGGGACCAGGAATCTCAATTGTAAGAGAAACATGGCCTTGCAGCGGAGAAGGAAAAAGGCTCCAAAGAGCATTCTAATTAAACAATAAGATATTAACAGCCTTCCTGTTTTATAAAAATATGTTTCCATTTAAATGTAAAAGAAATTATTGAGTATATTTGATTATTGGCCAAATTTTCAGGTTGCCCAAGAATTCTTGAGAGAAGTAGATAATAAATAATATGAATTTGTTTCTCTTCGTTATTTCCTTGCTTTGTGGTAAGATGTTAACGTGGAAACCAAGCATTCAGAGCCTTTTGTTCACTGCAGAGCACCTGTTCATTCAGACCTTTTGGCAAACCATGAATCGGGAGTGGAAGGGAATAGACAGGCTGCGCCTGGACAAGTTCTATATGGTAAGATCCACAGCTGTCATCCACGTTTACTTCAAAAACTCACGTGAAGAAAGAACGTCCTTTGTCTTACAAACAGCGAAAAGGTTCATTCGTGAAGCAGAATGAGCTCCAGGGTTAGTGTGAAGGAGGAGACGTGGTCTTGTCATTTGACTTGAGTCCTGGAAGGTGTCTCTGCTCTGGCTTTTCCAGCTGTTGGGGATGAGTTGAGGATCGTTAGTGAATATGTTTTTTGATCTAGAAGTTAAATGCGGTTATTATGGTTATTTTTTCACTTAGGGATCCAGGCTACACTAGTTTTGTTGGTCTCCTCGTTCCACTGAGCTGATTAACATTTCTTACTTTCCTTTTTGTAACAAAAACTGTCTATCTGTAGCTGATCCGGCTGGTCCTGAGGCAGTCCTTTGAAGTTCTGAAGCGAGATGGCTGGGAAGAAAGGTTGGTCCACTACTTGAGTTAGCATTTCGTGGCCTTAAAGCTTTTACGGTACTAGGGTATTTCTCAAGCTTTTCAGTTAATCCACAAACATGAATGCCCGATCTATGCCTCCCACTCCGTATGGTACCATGAGAAGCAAAATATGAGAACTTAAAATCCAGTAGAGGAGCATAAATAGTTAAGCACATGTGATAGCACTTTATACTGATTTAAGTGCTTATTTCCTTCTGAAACTTGTTTTAGCCTCGCATTGATAGTTGTGCAGTGTAGGCACTCGGCTGAATATTTTCGTTTTCTCTTGGCACGCTGTCTTTAAAAGAACCATGTGTGTTTTTTCTTTAGCCGAATCAAGCTTTTCCTAGATGTCCTGATGAAGGAGATCCTGTGTCCCGAGAGTCAGTCTCCTAATGGAGTGAGGTTCCACTTCATCGATATTTATCTGGACGAGCTCTCCAAAGTGGGAGGGAAGGAGGTGAGCAGCAGCGTGCTCGCAGGGGGCGGAGGCGGTGCTGTAGGTGCCACGCTGAGTTACCGGTGACAGTAGCAGCATAAGTTTGTTCAGCCCATCTGGGACGTGTCCTAAGTAACTAATGGGATGTGTAAACAAGCTCTGTGCACTAAGGATGTTCGTGGCAGTCTTACTTATAAAATAATCGAAAGCAACCTTGTAGAGTCCAATAAAGAATTCAGCAATATGGAGAAATGCTCGGGATATATTGGTTTGTTTGTTTGTTTGTTTTCTTTGAGACAGAGTCTCACTCTGTTGCCTGGGCTAGAGTGCCGTGGCGTCAGCCTAGCTCACAGCAACCTCAAACTCCTGGGCTCAAGCAATCCTCCTGCCTCAGCCTCCCAGGTAGCTGGGACTACAGGCATGCGCCACCATGCCCGGCTAATTTTTTCCATATATATTTATTTTTAGTTGTCCAGCTAATTTCTTTCTATTTTTAGTAGAGACGGGGTCTTGCTCTTGCTCAGGCTGGTCTTGAACTCCTGACCTTGAGCGATCCACCGCGTCAGCCTCCCAGAGTGCTAGGATTACAGGTGGGGGCCACCGCGCCTGGCCTGATATTTTTTTTTCAAGCAGTAGAAAAAGGCAGTAGACAAAGCTATACAAACTGTATGACTTTTTTTTTAAAGTATATACTCGTACATAAATAGACAAAAGACTAGAAAGGAAATGTACATTTTTAGTATGCAAACAATTATCTGAATTTGGGAATTTGAACAAATTTACTTTTTTCTTTCACAAGTGTTCTGTAGGGAACGTGTATTTTTTAATTAAAAGACAAGATAAATGCTATATTCAGAACAATAATTCCTTTGTCTCACACTTTCCAACGGTCTCCATGTAGAACTTCTGTTAGAAGAGGGGTGTGTACATGTTCCCTGTGCTGGACATGTGGAATGACGATGGTTGGATTGGGAGGTTTCTCCTGCGGCTGCGCTAAGATACCAAGTGGCTGGAGCACACCCTTGACCTTGAGCCTGGCTCCAGGCTTCTGTGGCACTCCCCGTGGGCACTTCTGGGCTGTGTGAGACAAGCCTTGCTTGTCTGACTCAACTTATGTGAAAAATGCAAATGATTCCTTTTTCAAGGACATGTCAGAAAGAGAAAAGGCTCTTTTGTTTCTCATTTTTTTCCCATTTTATTTCTAAATTACAGCTTTTAGCAGATCAGAATCTCAAGTTTATTGACCCATTCTGTAAAATCGCCGCCAAGACTAAGGAGTAAGTGATTTACCTGGGTGTTCTCGCTGCTTCTTGGTGGTTGGGGGTTGTTCTCTGTTCTGAAACACAGTGCAGACTCCCACAGTGATTGTCCAGAGCTGAGAACAGCTGAAGTTTTTATTCCCATTAACAAGACATTTGAAACTCCAAACAGTGATTTGGCTCTTCCAGCTTTGGGGCTTCCCCGGTCACCCCAGGAATGCCCACACACACCCAAGGTTCTGTCTGCTGCCCTCCGTCAGGTGGCGCATGGCAGTTCCTTGCAGCTGCAGTTGACCACACAGAAGCGTTGTCAGGGACACAGATGCCCACTGGCGGGCTGAGGGTCCCCGGGCCCTGGGCAGACCACAGTGACAAATGCAGGGCTTCCCTCCGTACCCCTCCAACAAGGCCAGAGCGACTGTTCTAACCATGTGCTGTCCACTGTGCTTCTGCCCTCAGCCAGACCCTGGTGCAGACTATAGCTAGGGGCGTTTTTGAAGCCATTGTAGACCAGTCTCCTTTTATACCTGAAGAGACAGTGCAGGAACAGAAGACAAAAGTGGGTGACAGTCACCTCCCTGAGGAAGAGGCCCCTGAAAATGAGATGATGTGGAGAAAAGCAGCCTGTAAGAAGAAGACAGGTGAGAGGCTATGCTCGAGTGGCCTGCCTGGTTCACTCCTGGTCACACGCACTCTGTGATACGTGTCCTGGTGTCTCGCCCAACACACCTGGAGTTGGTTCGTGGAAGACGGCACTGTCTCCACCCCTTCCGAGAAAGGAAGCAGTGGGTGTTCAAGCGCCTGTGCCCGGCTGGAGTCTGGGGACACCCGAGACCTGTCACGTGTGGCTAAGGCACATTTCTGTACCTCCTGGGACCTCGGGACTTCCCTCCAGGGTTTTACCATTGTCACTGCTGTTGCTCTGGGGTTTGTTAGTTGCTTTGTTGTTCTGTGGGATGTCTTTGAACATGCTGGTGTGGCCTTCCTGGAGGGGACCTGCCATATGGTTCCACGGGGGACATGCGCTTGTGTCTGCCTGTCTCAGCCCGCAGCTCCCTTCAGAGTTCTTTTCCTGTGGGTGTTTAGTGCCCACGGTGGACCAATGTTCTGACTCCTGTTTTGTATCCGTGGGCTTCTGTGTAGTGTGTGTGCGTTGGAAGGTGCAGGCCCAGCCAAACTCCCACAGCAGTTTCTGGCATCTCTGTGCAGAGTGAGATAAACGGCTGGGTCAGAGTTTGCCCGTGCTTTTGAAGTGTTTATAGCTATTAGGAAACAAAGTTTTCAAAAACTAATAACCAAAGGAAATATAATTCTTTTTAAAAGCAGAACACAAAACTATGTAACAGGAGCCTATTTGTTTTTAAACATTTATATGTGCCTTCAAAAATCTGGAAGGATAGACAGGAATGTTAATAGCTGTAGGTGGCAGAATTATGGGTGATTTTTGTTTTCTTTCTACTTTTCTCTATTTTCTAATTTTTCTACAGTTACCGTATATTATGTTTAATCAGGGAAAAAAAAAAAAAAGCAAGTCTTTAAGAAAAAAGTAATACTCTAATTTTAAATTCAGTGTATATCAGTGGTCCCCAACCTTTTTGGCACCAGGGACCAGTTTTGTGGAAGACAGTTTTTCCACAGCTGGAGAGTGGGGATGGTTTCAGGATGATTCAAGTGCATCACATTTATTGTGCAGTCAGGCCTCTCTGCTAACGATAATCTGTATTTGCAGCCGCTCCCCAGCGCTAGCATCACCGCCTCAGCTCCACCTCAGACCATCAGGCGTTAGATTCTCATAAGGAGCATGAAACCCAGATCCCGCGCATGCACAGTTTACAGTAGGGTTCACGCTCCTATGAGAATCTAATGCTGCGGATCTGACAGCAGGCGGAACTCAGGCGGTGATGCCAGCGATGGGGAGCGGCTGCAAATACAGATGAAGCTTCGCTCACTCACCTGCTGCTCACCTTCTGCTGTGCGGCTGCGTTCCTAACAGGCCACAGACTGATACCGGTGCCGCAGCCCAGGGGTTGGGGACCACAGGTGTAGGTGACAGAGTTAACGGATGACCTTGAGCAAATTTTGTGTAGGTGTAGGAGTAGTCTCGGGGTCCCTCTGCTCCCCACATTTCTGTCTACACTAGACATGGGGTGGTCGAGGTGGCTCAGCCTGTAATCCCGCCACCTTGGGATGCCGGGGCAGGAGGATCACTTGAGGCCAGGGGTTGAGACCAGCCTGGGCAACAGAGTAAGACCCTGTCTCCAAAAAAATTGAAAATTTAAAAATAAACTAGACACAGTCTCAGCCAGGCATGGTGGCACGTGCCTGTAATCCCCGCTACTCAGGAGGCTGAGACAGGAGGGTCACTTGAGCCCAGGAGTTCAAGTCCAGCCTGGACAACATAGTGAGACCCTGTCTGTTAAAAAGAAAAAAAAAACCAGCTATAGACACCATTTAGCTGTCTCCCGTGTGCGGTTGCAAACATTCTCTCCCAGGTGCACTGTCAGATGCTTGTTGAACACTTAAACACCTGCAAGGTGCTGGACCTGCCTCGTCTCCCACAGGCCACACCCTGATACCACACCACTGACAAGTACGTAGCTTTCCAGAAATGGCACATGTTTGAAAAACCTTTGAGTTCTTATTAGTCATTTTTATCTTCTCCTTCATAGGCTTTAAGACTCTTTGAATTTTTTTTTTTTCTTTTTTTAGAAATAGGGTCTCGCTCTGTTGCCCAGGCAGACGTGCAGTGGCACAGTCCTAGCTCACTGCAGCCTCAAACTCCTGGGCTCAAGGGATCCTTCCGCCTCGGCCTCCCAAAGTGCTAGGACTACAGGCGTGAGCCACCATGCCTGGCTGAATTACTTTTTAAATGCTAACAGTTACATTAATATTAACTTGTATTTCCTGAGGCAGCCTCCTGAAAAGTGAGTGTACTACTATGCTAGATATTTTACTGTAGTCCTGACTGACCTAAAAATAGGGATGTACTCCTGGATCCATCCTCCTCCTCCTGACAGTCCAGAGCAGTGTGGTGCCTGGCTCCACCTGCCTGAGTCTCTAAACCCCAGAGCTTCCCGTTCCCCTGGGCCGCGGTCGTGAAGGCAGCAGACGAGTCTCTGGTTTTGCCTATGATGTCATTATGAATAGAAAAAGCAAAATGTGTGTTTTATCCCAGACTTATCCTCATTCCCGGAGACTGAACAAGGAAAACATCTCTGGGAAATTATAAATGTATTTTCAGGGTTTTTCTTAAAGAAATTTTCTTTTTTACTAAGAGATATCTCATTAGACAGTGGCTTCTTTGGAAGTGGTTATTGCTTTGTATTTGATGTGTCAAGAATTTGTCTTTGGGTGTTTTCATAGCACTGGGCAAGAATCACTCCAGAAAAGACGGACTTGGTGATGAGAGAGGAAGAGATGACTGCAGAGCCTTAGAGGACACTGGGCCCCTTCTCCAGGTGGGTGGCAGTCGTTGCTTTTTATAGAATATAGATTTGCTGTGGGTGGCCTAGCCAGAGAATTAGGGTCACAACTAAGCTGTATGGCCTGAGGGCCAAAGTCTTTTCTAATCCCTTCAGTCACTAATGTCACCTTCCTTAGAATGAGCTCATTGGAGACAAAGAAATTTAGATGTGATAGAATTTTGAAAGATCATAGTCCTCATTTAGAATTGCCAGGATCTGTTGTGTTCCATACCACAGTGCCAGCTCCAGTGACACTTTGCAAATAAAAAGTTTACTATTTTACCAAGTACAGACTGAAAAATCTAGATTAACCAAAAATGAAGCACGCCCAGGTAAATTTTGTTATGTGTATTCTAGAATTTTAAGAAGAAAAACAAAAAAGGAAGAATTACTTACCCAGCTTCTCCCAAGAATAACTAGAAAATGAATATTTCAGAGTTGGTGCTTATACTTCTGGTTGCCAAGTCTTAGTATATGCTTGTTTAGACTCTTCTATTGCCAGATGCTTCCAAAATCCCATCCCAGTGGTTTTCTCTCACTAGTAGGTGTGAATTTCCAAGTCAGGCAGTGTGGTTTTGCTGCAGACTTACTTTGGTTTCTCTCTGTACGTAGTTTGACTATAAGGCTGTTGCTGATCGACTCCTGGAAATTACCAACAGGAAAAACATCCCTCCTTTCAACAGGAAGCGTCTCTCCAAGCTAATCAAAAAGTCAGTGACTGGGTGGGAGGGTTCCTTTGATTATCATTCATGTCCAAGTCCAGCCCCTTCATTTATCTCACTGTGGAGGGCTGGCTGTCTACATGCTTGCCTTTTTGTTTGTTTGTTTGTTCTTTGATGTGTTTATTCATAGCAGTGCAGTAAACTCATATACACTGCAGGGTTCAGTGAAAACAGCTGCCCCACCCCAAGTTCCATTCTTCAGATGCAGCCATGCTTGTCTCTTAGCTGCTTTACAGTGATGTGAAGAGAAGTCTATTAATGTCTAACATTAACAGATTGAGAAGCCGTGATGTCAGTCTGCTGTTTGGGTGTCGCCTTTTGGTGTGCTGTTGAGATAGACAGGGCTGGGTTATTTGTCTCTCGCCCTCACCTCCCTGCGCGGTTGTGCCAGAAGTGCTAGTTGACGCACAGTCAGTGCCGGTGTGGTCGTGACCGTAATGACGTGCTGATGTGCGGTTTGCTGTGGAGCCTATGGCACATGGTGGCTGATGGCAGATAACCCCTGTCTGGGTGTACTGCACGTGAGCCAGGCACTGCTCCGAGCACTTCACGTCCATCAACTTGTTTCATGTTAAGAAAACCCCTAGAAGGTAGTTTCCTTAATCCCCTCTTTGACAGCTGGGGTAGCAGGGTGTGGGGAGGGCAGCAGGCTGAGGTCACTGCTGTCAGGTATTGGGGCAGGACTTGCCCCCCGAGTGTTCTGCTCCTGCACCTCCCTGCATGCCACCCCACACTTAACACTTCTCTGTCCTGATCCACCAAAACTGTGCAAAGCCGAACACTGCTTGGCCTTTTCCCACTGGAGATTTGCATATAAGCTGAGATCTAAACTATTTCAGCCTTTGGAAACAAGTAAGGAAAATTTAACTTCCTAGTTTTGTTTGGGTGTCCGGGACAGATCCTTGAGCCTACCATGTCCTTGGTGACACTGATGGTCGTTGAGGGCTGTCTCTCCTTGAGTTTTTGCTTTGAAATCTCACCACCTTTCCTTAACAGAATTTCCTCTCTAGCCTCCCCTCCTGGAGGAAAAAGAAAGTAAATTATTAAGTGAACATTAAATTAAATATTTAAATATCATTTGTGTGTGTGTATATATATCTATCTACAGAAGACAGAAAGAAGGGGTTTTTTAAATGAACTTTTGTTGTTTTCTTTTTCAGATTCCAAGATCTCTCTGAAGGTGAGGAAAGTTGGGGGATTACAATTCACGATGTTCTTACATGAATATGGACCCCACTCAGGGCATTAATGCCAAATATTGAAAGGCAGGATTGCAGGACCTCTGTCTCATAAGAAAGACTAACCTTACCTGCATGCACCCGGGCGTGAGCCCTCCTGTCGCCTGCCCACTGTCCCACCCTGAGCTCCCCTGCAAATGCCAGAGTAAAGGGGAGATTGCCCTATTACATGTGGGCGGTGCGGTGTTTTGTTTTGGATTTTATTGTTCTTTTAACTAGATAAATTTTTACTGATCTGGGAAGGTTCTAATTTGATCCTTTATGAAGAAAAACAGTTGATCTCTCAGGGTCCCTTTCGTTTGCTGTTGTGGACAGTTGCCCCCAGAGAAAGTCTGCTGTAAGCTTGTTCACACCTGAGCGGGTCAGTGGGCTCCCTCCCGTGCGCCCTGTGCCTCGAGGCACTTGGAGTCGGGAAACAGCTCAGAGCCATGCGGACCGTGGAGACCGCCTTCGCCAAGCCCCCCAGGTGGAGCAGAGAGGGCGTCTCCCCCGGTGTGTACCCCTCGCCTTGGTGGGAACTCCACAGAGCTTTTTTAAGTCTGTAATTCCCATGTCAGCAGCTTTCGAGTTTGGGCTGGAGAAGTAGTGAGGAATGGTGGTGAGGAGGCAGAAGTCAGGGCTTAAAGTCTTGCCTGGTTGAGGCGGGAGGCCCAGCTCTTAGGCCACTGGGGCAGATTCTCAAAGGTCTCTGGAAGCTGACATGGTGTCCCTTTGGCGTCTAGCAGGCAGTATATCTCAACTTAATTTTGCTGAGGACATTTCTGCTGATGAAGAGGACCAAACCCTCAGTCAAGGAAGGCAAAAGAAAAAAGGAAGTAGACTTGTAGAAAAGGCCGACTTGGAAAAGGAGAAAGGTAAGCTGCAAATCTTAAATCAGAGCGGGCTGGAGAGGAGGCGCAACAAAGCCTTGGGTGGCAGCACGCATGCAAGTCTAAGGGCTTGCGCTCACGTCCTCATAAATTAGCAGAGCAAAAAGCTTTGGTTTTTCATGGCTGAAAAGTAAATATTTTTGTCTGAGTGTTTTGTTATTTCCTGTGGAAGCACCATTCCAGCCCCACTCAACTAGAAGCTTCCGCATACTCTCAAGAGCATCTTCGGGGGAAGGGGGCGAGCTGCTGAGTGTGCTTTGGAGCAGTGGCTTGATAACTGCTCTGGACCTGTGGTTTCTGCCTTTTCGCCTTAAGATTAATAGAGATCCGATGATCTGGGTCCCAGTTGCATAGAACTGGGCAGGAAGTTTCCAGTCAGCTGGGAATGGGGAAGAGGGGGCCAGGTGACAAGACCAGTGGGTGCACTAAGTGCACGGGGGACAAAAGCTTTTCTGTGGGAAAGGTCCATCTGCCAATCGCACTGGCTCAGAATTGCCAGCAAGACTGTCCCACCTTGGCATCGGGTGCTTGTTTATTGGCTTTGTGTCTTTGCAGGGAACGTAGTCTTTGCTGCAGAGAAAGAGGGCAGTGAAGGCAGTATTCAAAAGAGAAAAAGGAAAAAGAAAAGGAAGAACCACCCCCAGCCTGAAAACTCAGGCCCAGGCGATGAAGTCCCGTCCCTAGAACAGAATGGCGGCTCGTCCAGCACTGGGGAGGAGAGCGGCTCAGAGCACGCCCCCTCCGTCCCCATGCACAACAGAAGGAAACGGCCGCGGAAGAAGAGCCTAAGGGCCCACAGGGAGACCTTGGCAGTGTCACCTCTGGAGGACATGTCCCAGAGCAGCCTGAGCAGCGGACATCCACAGGCACCTGCCTCCAGAGGTTCCCCAACAGATGGAGTCCAAGTTCTGAAAAGGAAGCGGAAACTCGGAGCTCCCCCAGTCAGTGGTAGTGGCCTGGCCACGCTGGCCTGGCCCCCGGTGCAGAAGGAAGGCCCAGCAGAGGCGGGGAGCAGCCAAGCCAGCCTGCCCCAGTGTGGGAGGCTGCAGAAAAAAAAGGCAGAGCCCAGCAGCTGCAAGCTCTATGACCTGTCCAGTCAGAAAACAGCAATCTTGAAAAAGAGGAAGAAAATGAAAGAGATGTCGAACTTGGTAGAACACAATGGAGTGTTGGAATCCACAGTCAGGCCAAGCCAAGCTCTGGTAAGGCGGGATGGGCCCACAGGCGGGTTGCCGAGACTCTGGAACAGACGTGTTTGGGGGGCTTCACTGCCTCCTGTGGGGGTGGGGGTGGGGGCAGCAGTCAGACCTCTGGCCTGGGCAGAGTTAGACTAGATTGTGGTTTATAACAACCTTCACTAACAGGTAAATGACAGCTGGTCTCAGTGGCCAAGTTCAAGTCCTCCAAAACCCTCACTCCCCTTGGCCACACACTCAGAGGTCAGGGAAGGCTCAGCATCGAGCTGGGACAGTTACCCCTGGACCAGGCCTTCTGCCCCAGCCAGGCAGGCAGGCAGACGAGCTCCGCCAAGCGCGGTCTTGTTTCTGCATCGATGTCCAGCCAGTCCGGGTTTGTCTTGTCCAGCCCAGAATTGTCTTGTCTCACTTACCTTCTCCATGAAAAGACTTTCTGTCTGCTTGGGGCTCTAGAGCCAGATACAGACGAGGACCCGGGCTCTCGGCCTGCTGTTGACATGTCTGGACACACGGTGTACTGCCACAGCAGGGCTGGCACACGTGGTTCTGTGACACCGAGCCACGCCTGCTGGTGTGTGCACTGTCGGGCACAGAGCTGGGTGGTGGTGACAGACCTTACGGCCCACTCTGGCCCTTTACGGAAACAGCGTGCTGACCCGTGTTCAGAACTCGCATTCACACATGCTGCTCTGCCGCGGTTAGGACATCGGGGCCTTTGTTTAAGAGGACTCGTGTGCCCTTGGTGAGGTGCTGGCCTGAGGCCTTTCTGACAGTATCGCTAAGTGGGTAAGTGGGTTAGATGAGTAAGTTGATGGTCAGTAAAAAGTCTGAGCTGGCAAAGCAGCACGAAGCTGGACCGCAGGAGGTCGATTTCTGGTCTTGGGTCTTCCCCGGCCAGCAGGGCGCTGCCGTCCCCGTTCACTCAGTGCTCTCTCTTCCCTAAGGAGATCAGTGACGCTGCCTTTCTTCACGTCCTCTCAGACCCCTGGCAGCCTGGTTTAGAGAGGATTGGGATAGTTGCTAATCAGTCCCAGGGTCAGGAGAGGTTTCCCTCCCGAGGGAGGCGCCGTCTACCTGACATCTCTCCCGGCACAGGGGAGGAGCAGAAGAGAAGGCCCCTGGGGCCGTCCTTCCCTCGGGCAGCCATCTAGAGCCTGCCGACACCAGCAGGTCGGCTGCTCTGGGCTTCTGGGACACCTGAGACCCCAGAGCTAGAGCCAGGTCTTTGCTGTGGGTGGTTGTAGCTGCAGCACGTCCCGTGAGTGTCCTGCACCTGCCTGTAAGGGGCTGTAGAACCCAATTGGATGTCACTCACCCTCCGTGTGCAAGGTTGTCAGCCAACAGTGATGTCTCTAATCACAAACGAGAAAGTAAATTATTTAACAGATGAGCTTTGAAAAGCACAAATGCTCAGAACACTGGCATAAGTTTGAAGATGAAGGCATGGTGGCGTGGTAGAGAAGTGGCCGTTTGTGTGTCGCTCTGCTAAGCGGTGGGGCCCTTTGCAACCCAGTGCAGGAAGCCGCGGGCTGTGGGGGCCTGAGCTGGTGAGCCGGGGCTGCCTCCTGTGGCTCTGCTGCCGCACTGTCCTGTTTTACTTCCTGTGTGCGCGGGCTGGCGCCGGAGGCTCTGGCGTGCAACAGCTTCTTGCCCCTTGCTCCCGCAGGGAGGCAGCGACACTGTCAGCCCCTTGAAGAAGAAGCAGCTGAGGACAGAGAACGACTTTGTGAAGTTTGACACCCCCTTCCTACCAAAGCCCCTGTTCTTCAGAAAAGCCAAGAGCAACACTGCCACCTGCTCTCCAGGTCCTGCCGTCCAGGTACATGCCCTGCCCAGAGTGGCGCAGCCCATCCCCACCGCAAGGGCACAGAGATGTGGGTGCCGGGCCTGGTGCCTGCCGTGGCCTCCCTGAGCCCAGAGCACTCACAGCCGCCGTCGGCCTCGGAGCCTGTCCACAGGGCAGGGGCTGTACGGGAGCCCAGGTTGGCTCTGCAAGCAAGTTCTCAGCCCTGGTGACAGCGTAGTGTTTCTGGGTGGCATGGGACCCTCCCCGAGGGATCACAGTCAGGGTGCTTTGATCTGCGGTTGATGACTCACATTCCACCCATGAAACGTTTCTGGTGTTAAAGCAAAGTGGTTGTAAGGTAGAAAAAAGGGATTCACACAAATAATGGGGTTCTAGGAAGGAATTTGAGGAAGTGTTTCATGATGCAAAATGGATCAGCTTTTGGAAATTTTTCAAACAGCAAAGGACGTAGTTAATTTTGATGAACTCTTGGAATATCTAGATAATTTGGAGTCCTTTGCATAAAACGTTGGAGAGTTTAAATTCGTTACCCATGGAAGTTAGAATCCATCGTTGGTATAATCAATTTCATGTAATGTTCAAGTTAAAACTTCGAAACTGGAGGACAAAATGAATGAAGAGCTGTTAACATTCTTACAGTTTTTCAGTGGTGAACTTTTTCCTATTTAGAAGGTTTCAGACATCCTTATTTCGTTCGCTCTCTTCACTGTGGCCAGTGACGAGGTGGCACCTGCAGCGTGGCACTAGGAGCACTGCCACCTCGTGAGCTGGGGAAACAAACGTGGAACCAGATCACTGTCCCTTTTGGCCCTTTGATGTGTGTCCTGGTCAGTAAGCATTCAGTGTTCCCTCCTGGGCACGTTCTTTAGCAAACTCTCTGAAGGAGACTAAGCGGTTCCTTTTATGTTACTCCTTCTGGTTTTTTCTGTAGCTAAACAAGACACCATCCAGCTCCAAGAAAGTCACCTTTGGGTTGAACAGAAACATGACTGCAGGTGAGTGAGGATCTGCTTTTAGAAGCCTTTCCCCTGGAGCGCAGGCTTGGCCTCTTGCGACAGCAAGTGTTCCCATGGGAGGCAGAGGACTGGGGGGTCCTGGGGCCGTGAGGTCGAGGACTTCTCTCCCTGCCAATTTCTGAGTCAAAGTGAGCACCTGACAGTACGTCCCTCGTCCTCGCAGAGCTGTGAGTGGGTGGTGGTGGTGGGCCAAAGAGATTTCCTGGGACCCCTTGAGAGGTTACCTGGCCAGATGTGATCTGAAAAGCCATTTTCCCGACTGCCTTCTTAAAGCCATCGCACAGAGGCCACTGGAGGTCCTGAGGTCCCTTAGCTGTGGCTGCCTCTTTACTAGAGTTCAGAACCACCTGCTTTGCGGGAGGAGGGGGAAGAGGAGGGACAGCCCTGTCTTGCTAGTTTTCATATTGGTACTATCCATTTATTTTTTCAAAAGAATCCAAAGTTTTGAAAAAAACAAGTTTAAGGCCTGACTCTTCTTGGGGACCACAGTAATGGAGCATGTGTGTTTAGAGAGGAGGAGCTCTGGGAGGATCTGGGCCGCTCACCTCAGCCAACGCGGCCTTGTCCTTAGCACTGGGGAAAGCGGGAGGGATGAATCCTCCCTGGCAGGGACTCCTAGGGGCTCTGCATGCTGCCGATCAGCCCCGGACACAGCTGCCTGGGTCCTCATGTCCGTGAGCACCCCACCCCACCTGGCCTGCTGGGGCTCCCCGCGGTCTGCAGGGGGTGGGGCACGCCCTCTGGAAGAGCCAGGGCATGCCTGGGAAGCCCCACAGTCACTGGGGTCTTGGGATGGCACCGCCCTGCCCGAAGCCAGAGAGGGAGGGTCAAGCCCCGAAGCAGGACACTCCTACATGGCTAGAAGGGACAGAGGTCACACCCAGTTAACAGGGCGCTTTACTTTCATTTGGGACAGAATTCAAGAAGACAGACAAGAGTCTCTTGGTCAGCCCCACAGGCCTCTCCCGAGTGGCCTTCAACCCCGAGCAGAAGCCCCTGCACGGAGTGCTGAAGACCCCCCCCAGCTCACCTGCCAGCACCCCCCTGGTGACCAAGAAGCCGCTGACTGCCACTCCAAAGAGGAGGCCGACTGCTGTGGATTTCTTCTGAGGACCGCAGCAGAGTCTCTTTTTAAAGACTGCTTTTGTACAGAATATTCTATAAATTATAACTTTAAGAACGTAGGGCCTTTTTATCATTTTATAAGTTCCTGTAACTGGTGTAAACGAGGTTCTGAAGGTGAGCTGCTGGTTGCTCATCCCTTCCACTGGGAGCCACGGGTTCTCCGTGGAATCTCACGCTACAGACATCGTGCTTAAGCTCTCTGGGATTCCACATTTTGGGGTAACTTCAGTGATTCCCATTAGTGTAGGAACTGAGACCTTGTATGAAGCTGAGGAGAGCCCCCTGATCTATAACTTTCAATAAATTGATTAGCACAATTAAAGCGTGGAATTACACTTCGTAGTCAGCTGTCAGTTCATGAAGAACTTTGGGACTCACAACCGTGTTTGCTGTGCTGGGTTGGTTTTCTGGTTATTTCTAGTCTAACAGTCTTTTCTCTTTTCAAAGTGTGTAGGGCTTCACCCCGTGTCCTGTGGGTATTTGGCAGTTTACCGATAGGGATGATTCTTGGAACAGAATCAGCAATACCATAGTTTTTCTACGTGTACTCAGCTGGGAGCGGACAGGTGGGGGAGAAGAGGCTCTTGCCCTGGGGGCTTCTCTCTTCCACCCTCACCTCGTTCCTTCCCTGTTCTCCTACCTCTTCAGCAAGCCCAAAGTGTCTTCTGGGGGCCGGCGCCCCGCTTGGCTCTCACCCGGGACCCAGCCCTGCACTGAGCCCCTCCGCTGCGGTCTGCAGTGTTCTCCCATGGAGCACACTCGCTCTTCCAGGTCCTTGGGCTCCAGTTTCTCTTTACATGTCCGTGTCTGGGCCAAGCAGCGAAGTGATTGACGTCCCCAAAGCGGCTTTTCCATCCTGGGTTAGACTCCTTTCCTCAGAGGCGCATCCGCGGTGTCTGAAACCTGAGCCTTGCAGAGAGCGGAAACCGGCGGCCTTGAAGAACCATGCCTGTGTATTTGTTCACGACCACCTTTTATCTAAAATATGGGAGTTTGCACTTACAGGTCTTTACACGGTTCTTCTAATGTAAGTTAATTACAGAAAGTGGGATGGAAGGCGCCCAGACTCTAGCTGGAGAAACAGAAATGTGACTTTCTTGCTCACTCAATTGATCTGTACCTTTTGCCTGAGAGACGGAGAAGATGCAGACTCAGAACCAAGTGGCGCTTGAGGGAGGCCGCGGGGCCAGGCTCTTTTCTCCGTGGCTCACACAGTCACAGATTCTAAACGGAAGGAAGTCACGGAGTGTGTAGCTTTGGCTGACCAGTGCTCAGTGCTCTCCCAGCCAACCCCTCTCTGCTCAGGGGAATCTTGGGCCTGGAAGTGAAAGCCACTCCCCTCCCCTCACGCCCCATCCCATGCAGGAGCCCCAAATTTTCACTAAAACCTGGGCCAGTGCCCTTTTCTGCTACCCCCAACAGGGGACCCCAAGTTGCTTCTGTGGTCCCAGCCGTGGCTTTGGACGGTGGAAAGGCCCACTGGGATTGCAGAGCTGCATTGATTTGACTGATTTCATTCGTTCACGAAGCAAGGGTGGGCTCCACCTGGGAACACGAACTGGCTTAGTGCTGGGTGGGTTGACCTACTGATGGAGGCCCTGATGAGAAGGAAGTGTTAACTTTGTTCTTTGCCTACTCTGATGATATTTTGTCATACTTAGCCTCGAAAAAAGAAATAGTCAACATTGTGCCGTTAAATAGTCCCTGTAATGAGAAGTCTCACGCACAGCATAACTTTGTGGTGGTGGTTGCATGGTCTTTAGTGTGCTGCATTTGATCTAACACATAAAATCCCATTCAAAACCAAAACTGGCGTAACGAAAGGACTGGACTTCAGTGAGCAAATATTTTTAACTTTTTTGTTTAAAAAAAAGTTTCATTGTCCTTAGTCGAAATATTTTTCTAAAAATTTTTATTTCAGCTTTAAAGATGAGTCATATAGTCAAATGGACCATATAATCCGACAGTGTTGAGATGTCTTAACAAGACACTTTAGGGCAAAAATGGCACATTTCTTCTGCAGACTACTGCAGAAACGTTTCTTCACAGCACTTCTGTATCGTGTGCCTATCCTAAGGTGCCAGTGGACGTCTTACAAACACACCTCCTGTCAAAGTCATGCCTGTGGGGTGGTGTCCGGGAGGGACAGTGTGCATCTGAGATTCTGTTTGTTCTCCAAATCTGTCCCGATGACCCCTTTTTATGGGTAAGTCAAATAGGTTTACAGTGGTTTATTTTTAATGCCTAAGTTTTGGCAACAGGAAGAAAACTTTTTAAGAATTGTCATTAATATATATACACAAGAAGAATATGTCACAAAGAAAATGTGTTTAGAATACCAGTTTTCTATTTGATGCATGTTATTTTCCTAAATAAAATTGCCAAGGGGACTTGGAAGTCCAGAAAAGGAAATAATTTAAACTAATGCTGGTGATCTTGAATAATAGTATTTTGTAAAATGATGATCTCTTCCTTCTCCATAGGGCTGGTCAATTTTGTACAATTAGGTATCAGACTTTTATTACCCTTTCTAACTTTTACTGAACTGAAAGCACAAAGTATAAAGAAAATCTGGAAACAATTGTTAGTATTGGAAAGAATATGAAATTGTGAATCCGTCTTTAATTTTTGTATGTGTTTTCTCTGAATTTACCTGACTCTGCTGGCAAGGACTTTGTTTACAATCAAACTGCTAGTGTCTGCAGGGTCTGTCGGTACTCATCAAAGCCACGTCCATTAAAGATACATGTCTTTGCCCTCAGATTTGTGTTTGTATTGACTTTCAGTATGCATAAAATACACCTCTTTGGGAACTATTGTAACACAGCAGGAATTGAAAGATGGCATTTTTTTTTTTTTTTGAGACGGAGTCTCATTGTTGCCTAGGCTAGAGTGCCATGGCATCAGCCTAGCTCACAGCAACCTCAAACTCCTGGGCTCAAGCGATCCTCCTGCCTCAGCCTCCCGAGTAGCAGGGACTACAGGCGTACGCCACCATGCCTGGCTAACTTTTTCTATATATTTTTAGTTGTCCGGCCAATTTCTTTCTATTTTTTTAGTAGAGACGGGGGTCTCGCTCTTGCTCAGGCTGGTCTTGAACTCCTGAGCTCAAATGATTCGCCAGCCTCGGCCTCCCAGAGTGCTAGGATTACAGGGATGAGCCACTGCGTCTGGCCTAAGATGGCATTTTTTGTGTTTGAAAACAGGACTCTTGAGGTACCTGTTTTCACGTCTCTACTACCCAGAGCCCGGTGGTGGGTTCCCGGCGAGTCTTCTCTGAACGGCTGCTGCAGTCCTGTGGCCGCTCACGCTCACTCTCTGCCACGTCTGAAACGTCCACTGCAGAGGCCACAGGAGGTGCCAGTGTCCTGGCTGCAGAGCCCCAGCTCAGTCCTAGAAAAGTGACCGCAGCTGGGGTATTGTAAGTCCTGGAGGGAGGGGAGGATCTAAAATGTCCAGTTTTCAACAGCAAAAAGAAGACAAGCAGGAGAGTGTCACACGCACAAGGAAAGGGAGGCATAGAAACTGCCCTGAGGGTGCCCAGATCACAAAGCAGCCGTGATAAATATGTCCATAGAACTAGAGGAATCCATATTTGAAGAAATAAAGGATATGATGACAGCGTCTCATCAGATAATACTAATAGATTTTTTTTAAAAAAAGACCAAAGAGAAATTCTAGTGTTGAAAAGCACAGCAAATGAAAATTTAACGCTAGTGAATTTTTTATTTGTTATCGTAGATTTGAGGCAACTGAGGGAGGAAAGAATCATCACGCTTGAAGACAGTAATGGAAGCTATGTGGTCTAAAAAACAGGAAAGGTTAAAAAAAATGAACAGAGCCTCAGGGAATGCGGGATGCCCTCAAGCGCGCCCACATACACGTGGGCGTCCCGGCGAGGAGAGGAGATATTCGAGAACCCAGTGGCACGCAAATGTGCGGTTCAGCGGTGTGTAGTGTGTTCACGAGGTGCACCCGCCACCATCTAGTCCAACACATCGTCATCACCCCAAGAAAAACCCTGTTGAGCAATTAGTTTCCATGCCCCTGTCCTTCCAGCACTTGGCAACCACCCACTTGCTTTGTGTGTCCGCGGGTGCACCTATTCTAGCTATTTCATGCGGGGAACTGGACACCGTGTGGATTACGTTGTGCCAAACATCGGTCTTTGCACCCGGCTGAGAGAGTGAGGTTCCCGAGGAGAGTGCGCCTGGCAGAGGGTGCACGCTGTTCCTTTTAGAAGGTGCGTTCCCCGTAGCACCTGCGGCTGCCTTGCCCGCCCCTCCCCCAGGCCACCTCCCACGGAACTGAGGGCAAGGAAGGGAAATGCCCTTCTTGGGGGATTGTTGGTGCCCCTGGCCAGAGGACTTGGCTTTGGAGCAGAAGCCTGTCTCTCCAGTCCCCACGCAGGCGCTGGGCGCCCTTGGGGGTATGTGGGCATCTCCCAGGGGTCCTCTGCCAGGCTCTGTGCTTTGCAGATGTCACTGTCTAACCCGCACAGCTTCCAGGCTGGTGAGTTCCGTGATTGGTTTGTTCACAGACAGGGAAGCCGAGGCTCGGAGAAGTGAGGCACCTCGCCCAGGTCTCAGCTTGCAAGTGCCCGAGCTGGCATTGGCCCCCAGGTCTGCCAGACTGCAGAGCTTCCCACCCCACCCCCACCCAGCAGCGGCTCCCATGGGGCTGCCGCTTTGCCCCTCATGCTGTGGTCTTGGACCAGCAGCAGGAACAGCACTCGGAGCTGGCTAGAAACGTAGGATGACCACCCAGGCCCACTGAGTCACCACCTGTTTCACCGACGTCCCCAGGGGACTGGGACACATGCACAAGTTGGACAAGCGCTGGTCCGAAGACCTGCAGCGTTTAGCACCACGTCTGCAACCCAGGATGGCCCTCAGTGATGCTGCTGGGCTGACTCGGATCCGGTCAAAACCCACCGGTTTTCTCCTGCTGTGCATCCCTGAGGTCCAGGCTGGGGAACCTACCCCAGACCGCTCGACCGCAGCTTTCTTGCAGCACCTAAGTTTCTGAGCACACAGAAGAGGAGAGCGAAGAGCATAACAAACGTCCACCGGCCCTCACGAGCTCATGTTAACAGTTTCCGCATGTTTGTTTACCTGTTCTGTTTTTTTTTTTGTAGAAACAGGGTCCCACTCTGTCGCCCAGGCTGGAGTGCAGTGGTGCAATCACAGCTCACAGCAGCCTCAAGCTCCTGGGCTCAAGCGACCCTCTTGCCTCAGCATCCCTAGGAGCTGGGACTACAGGTGCCACCACGCGCGGCTAATTTTTGTATTTTTTGTAGAGACCTGTTG